CTCGCATAAAAAGCTCGTAAAACGGGAAAAAATACGATCGAGTTTCTCAGGGGAGATAGAAATTGGCGGTGGCGCTGCGGACGCGTGAGAGAAGTGACCGACCTATCGGGACGCGCCTCGAGCAGAAAAATTTCCTATTCGCTATTCACCTCTCTCGCGACGAGTATATCGCGAAACGAGAATTAGCGCGTTTCCAAAACGTACGAACTTCCCGATCTCCTTTGAAACGACGATCGATCCTCAAATAAGGTAAATTAGCATGGAAGAAGCGGCGAAGCTTCGTCGCTGAATCGCTCAAGGCTGTTCGAGTTTGCCTCGAGATCCTGCAACTTTAATTGCCGTCGTTTCGTTTTCCACCGTTCCCCCTCTCTTCCCTTCTCCGTTCCCACTCCCCACCATCCTGCGACCGCCGGTTAATATTATCTCGGAACCGCGATCGCGACGATGTTCGACGCAACGTAACCGTAACGTAACGTAACCGACGATTCTCGATTCATCCGATCGTATTCGCATGGATTCGTATGTTCACGCTTCGCGACGCTTCGTCCCCGATTAATACCGGAAGTCTGGCAACTCCCGTATCTCTCTCTCCACGAGCCGGTTCCCATCGAGCATCGATGAACCAGAGTATTTTCGGGTATGGAGTCGCTGCCAGCCACCACCGATCCACTGGTGTGGAGGAAGGGCGGCGGAGGGAGAGAGAGAGAGCGAGTTGGCCGGAGTGGTGTTTCCCCGGGGTAAGCACGAGCATATACTTGCCCGGGGCTTATTCAGACAAATCGGTGATTGCTGCGGGAGAGGCGAGCGAAAGGGTAGCGCTCGCCACACCGGCGGAGCATCGTTGCTCCCGACATCGCCCGCCCACCCGCCCACCAACCCACCCACGCCACCTTCCTGCAGGAACGAAGACAGAACGGGGGGAGGAAGGCGGGTTTAGCCCGAAATCCGCGATGGAGACGAAAAGAGAGGGACGAGAAAGATGAACGGATATAGATATAGATGCGGGAGGCGAGTTTTGGGAGGGAAGACGGGGAAGGAGGGAAGCGAGATCGCGGAGGTTAGAGCGAAGAAGCGTCTGAGGGAGGGGGAGAGAGAGAGAGAGAGAGAGAGAGAGAGAGAGAGAGAGAGAGAGAGAGAGAGAGAGAGAGAGAGTAGTAGTAGTAGTAGTAGTA